CTCTTATAATCCTTGTAATTTCTAAAAAAATCAGCAGTAGTATCCCTCTGTTTGATTTCTGATGTTAGATGAGTCTTATCTCTGTTTTTCTTCATCAGTTTAGCTAAACATCTTGGCAGTTTTGTAGTTCTTTTCAAAGAATCAACTCTTAGATTTTCTTTTTCTGTTCTCTCTCTGTTTTAATCGGTGCTCTGATTTCTTCTGCAACCTTTGAGCTTATTTTGTTTCCCTTTTGTACTCCCTCCCTTACTTACTACTACTTTTTAAAAATTTAAATAAGGGGAGTTCTTTCATATGGAAAGAGCTAACACAACCATATGTTTGAAAGGAGAAACAACTGTTACTTAACTGGAGGGAAGGAAGGCCTGAGTGTCCAGCATGGCTGGGTGAATCTGTGATTCCATTTCCCATATGAGATAAAGTTTCCCTAAATCACTTATAAAACAAGCTGCCCAGTTTATCTTAACCATCATCTGCCTTTTCACATGTCTGGTCTAAGGAAAAGACAAAAAGAGGAAAGGTCAAAAACGAAAGGAAGCAAAACCAAAACATAACCTTTCAAAAACAAATAAACAAACCCCAAATCCTTTTTATTCTGCTAGGCATGAGGTTAAAAGCTTAGAGTACAGGACCCCCTTTCAACAATGGAAGAAAGCTATCTGCATGGAGCCTTCATAGGAAATGTCATTCTGAAGCTTTGTGACATGCTGAAGGCAAGGAACTGGGGATGCTGCTATCATATGGGAAACCATCCAAACTGGGTGGGAGAATCAGGAAACTGCAGGTCTCCTGCACCTGGAAGACCCTTGTTCTAATTTCTTAAGGTGCAAAGTTAGATTATTGCTTTGAGACCTTTTGTCTTTTAAATGTGTTTATAGTCATACATTTTTCTCTCAACACTGCTTTCAGTGCATCCCATAAAATTATTGTGTTTTCATTTAAAATATTTTCTAATTTCTCCTGTGATTTCTTCATGATCCATTGATTGTTTACCAGTTTGCTATTTAATTTCCATGTATTTGTGAACATTCCAGTTTTCTTTCCTGTTTGTTGTTTTCTACTTAATTCCATTGTGACTGGATATATATATCCTGGAGAATATTCCATTTGCCCAACAGAAAAATTGTGCATTTGAGGGTAGAGTGTTTTATATATATAGCCATTTAGATACAACTGGTTTATAGTGTCGTCTGAGTCCTTTGTTTTGTTAATTTTCTGTCTGGTTGTTCTTCTATTATTAATATTGGAATACAGAGTCAGCTATTATTATTATAGAACTATCTATTTCTTCCTTCATTTCTCTCAGAGTTTGGCTCATATACATTGGAGTCCTGATACTTGGTGCATATATATTTATAATTGTTATCGTTTCTTGGTGAATTTACTCTTTTATTGTTTTACATATATTATATACTGTACTTCTTTTTCTTCTTGCATAAGAGGTGTTGTGTTTGTTATTAGTAAGGCCACTCCTGCTCCCTTTGGTTGCTATCTTTTCACTTTCACTGTATGTATGTATCTTTGGATCTACTCTGGGCAACTTACAGAACTCATTAGTTGGGTACCCTTTTGTCATTTTTTTATTCATTACCTGTGTGTCATTTTCCCCATTGCTACTTTCCTTTATATCTAGCTGATTTATTGTTGTAACACTTTTTTATGTTTTTTCCTTTTGTGTATATTTTATATATGTTTTTTCCTTTTGTGTATATTTTATAGATTTTTTTCATGGTTACCATGGTATTATATATAATACCCTAAAGTTGTGGTACCCTATCTTTTTTTTTTTAAATTTTGGATTTCTTCTTTTTTTTTTTAATTGTTTTATTATTCATATGTGCATACAAGGCTTGGGTCATTTCTCCCCCCTGCCCCCACCCCCTCCCTTACCACCCACTCTGCCCCCTCCCTCTTCCCCCCACCCCCTCAATACCCAGCATAAACTATTTTGCCCTTATCTCTAATTTTGTTGTAGAGAGAGTATAAGCCATAATAGGAAGGAACAAGGGTTTTTGCTGGTTGAGATAAGGATAGCTATACAGGGAGTTGACTCACATTAATTTCCTGTATGTGTGTGTTGCCTTCTAGGTTAATTCTTTTTGATCTAACCTTTTCTCTAGTTCCTGGTCCCCTTTTCCTATTGGCCTCAGTTGCTTTTAAGGTATCTGCTTTAGTTTCTCTGCGTTAAGGGCAACAAATGCTAGCTAATTTTTTAGGTGTCTTACCTATCCTCGCCCCTCCCTTGTGTGCTAAAGCTTTTATCATGTGCTCAAAGTCCAATCCATTGTTGTGTTTGCCCTTGATCTAATGTCCACATATGAGAGAGAACATACGATTTTTGGTCTTTTGGGTCAGGCTAACCTCACTCAGAATGATGTTCTCCAATTCCATCCATTTACCAGTGAATGATAACATTTCGTTCTTCTTCATGGCTGCATAAAATTCCATTGTGTATAGATACCACATTTTCTTAATCCATTCGTCAGTGGTGGGGGGGCATCTTGGCTGTTTCCATAACTTGGCTATTGTGAATAGTGCCACAATAAACATGGGTGTGCAGGTGCCTCTGAAGTAACCTGTGTCACAGTCTTTTGGGAATATCCCCAAGAGTGGTTTTGCTGGATCAAATGATAGATCAATGTTTAGTGTTTTAAGTAGCCTCCAAATTTTTTTCCAGAGTGGTTGTACTAGTTTATATTCCCACCAACAGTGTATGAGGGTTCCTTTTTCCCCGCATCCTCGTGTGGCACCCTATCTTAAATTGATATCAACTTAATGTTAATTGTACATAAAACTCTACTCCTTTATAGTTCTGTTCTCTCACTGTACTTTATTGATGTCACAGATTGCATCTTTATATATGATGTACCCAATAACTTAGATTCTTATTTTTATTTGTCTTTTAAATCTTACTAAAAACATGTCATTGTAAACTAAAATTACAATGATGTTTTATATATTTTTCCACATATTTACCCTTACTGGAGAACATTATATTTTATATGGGTTCAGGTTTCTTTCTGGCATCCTTTCATTTCAACTTGAAGCATTAATTGGAGAGCAAGTCCAGAGAAGTCCAACACTTTCTCCTTTTTTTTTCTTTCTTTGACAGTATAGGGGTTTGAACTTGGGGTGTCATGCTCACTAGGCAGATGCTCTACCACTTGAATCATGCCTCCTGCCCTCTCCCTCATTTTTGAAAGACAGTTTTTTTAGATATAGAGTTTTCAGTTGACATTTTTTTTCTTTTAACACTTTGAATACATCATCCCCCTGCCTTATGACCTGCAAGGTTTCTGCTGAGATATACCTGATAGTCCTATTGGTGGTCATGTGACAACTCACTTTTTCTGCTGTCAAGCATCTCTCTTTCAGTAGTTTGATTATATATGTGTCCCTGTATGGCTGGCTGGGACATCATAGATATAGTTTATTAAGCTTCTGGGATTTGTATATCATATCCTTCCCAAATTGGACAGGTTTTTAGCCATTATTATTATTATTTTTTTTTGTTCGAGACAGCACCTTGCCAGGTAGCTCAGGCTGACCTTGAACTTGTGATCCTCTTGCCTCAGCCTAATACACACCTGGCTAGCCATTATTTCTTCTAATAATCATTCTGCATCTTTATTCTCCTTTGGGAGTCCCCAGAATGAGTATATTTGTCTGACTAATAGTGCTTCTAAGTCCCTTTGGCTTTGTTCAGCTTTGTTCATTCATTTTTCTTTTTTTCTCTTCAGACTAGATGATTTAAATGACCTGTTTTCAAGTTCATTTATTCCTTTTTTTCTGACTGTATAAATCTGCTTTTAAGTTCCTCTAGTGACTTTTTATTTAGATATTGGCTTTTTCAGCCCCATAATTTCTGTTTTTAAATGTTTTTATTTTCAAATAAATTCTGTTTTATAATAATTTCTCTTTGTTTTTATTCTCATTTTGTTCAAATTTCATTTTCCCAATTTCTTTTAGTTATTTCTCTGATTTTTTTTCTTAAGTTTCTGAACATATTTTTTGACAGTTTCTGTAAGGTCTTTGTCTAGTAAGCCTGGTGTGTGTGTGTGTGTATTTAGTGACTGTTTCTGGACATTCATTTTGTTCCTTTTAATAAGCCATTTTCCCCTATTTTTTGTATTCCTTGTTTCTTTTTTGTTTTTGCTGTTGAATATTTGGCATTTAAAAAAACAATCATCTCTTGCTGTCTTTGCAGACTGACAGGGAAGACCTTCATTAATTAATGGGCTTCTGAACCTGGAGATCATACCAGGGTGAAGATGTAAGATCCCAGATGCTTTCTGGGCCTATATCTTGTCTGCACTTCTATGTTGCCTCTCCCCCCTGCAACTCTGGCTGCTTTTAAATGTTTTCTTGGATGTTTTATCATATTCTTCTGCCCACAATTCCTTTTCCCCAGGCTTCCACAAGTTTGTGGTCCTCTTCAGTTTTCACATGCTGCAGCATCTGCCACTGTCTTCTGTGGCTTCCGGTCTGAGGTCCAAACTATGCTAATGTTCTTGTCTATGCTCCAAGTCAGATGGACTAGGAACCAGTCCACTAGGCAGCCCATAGCATTAAACACAAGTTCCATTTTGCACCTTCTACCTGGGGGGAGGGAACTGGGAATTTCGCATTTCTCTCACCAAATTATGCTATACTGAGGAGGGTTGGGGGCAAGAGTGAATAAAAACACCACAGATTTTCCTACTATCTTGCATGGGACTGTTTCTTGATTGAGTGGTCACTTTATGTGCTTAGGTCTTTGGCTGGTTTCCAGAGCTCCTATAACGTTGTTTAGTCAGTCTGTGGTTGTTTATTTGATATTCCTGTGGGAGAATAAGTGCCTGCTACCTCCTGCTCCAATGTCTTGATGATATAACTCTCAAATCTTTTGAGACTCTTGTTTTCAAATAGGGCATGTTACTAATAATTGGTAAGAATATGACAAATTTAGATAATATGGTTCCCACTACTAACCCATCTTCTGATTCTGCATCTCCCCCCAGTACAAGCATGGGGGACCCATCATTGCTGTGCAAGTGGAAAATGAATATGGTTCCTATAACAGAGACCCTGCTTACATGCCTTACATCAAGAAGGTAAGAGCCAGCCTGGTTCATTTCTTCATATTCCTTGTTCTGGAACATTATCGGTTGAGACATGTGTGTCTGATAGTTCTCTCATATTAATGCCATGTCTTTCAACACCATTTATTAATTAGTGAGTTTTTCTCCATTGTTTTATTTCAACAGGATTGTACCTTATTTACCTTTTGTTGATTGAGTTTAATTTGGGGTTTGTAGCACATGCATGGTGTTACATGGGCCAAAAATTAAGGAATTGAATTAAGTTTTTTTTTTGTGGCCCTAGGACTTGAACTCAGGGCCTATGCTTACTAGGCAGCCACTTGAACCACTACTCCAGTCCTCTTATGTATTGGTTATTTTTGAGATAGGGTCTCGGCAACTGTTTGCCTGGAGCTGGCTTTAAGCTGTGATCTTCCTAATCCCTGCCACCCCAATAGCTAGAATTACAGGCATGAGCCACTGGGTGCCCAGCAGAATTGACTTAATTGAGTGGTAATGATGAAGGCTTTGTGGAGTGTCTGTCTCATCCCACTGTAAAGCCATCACTCCCAGCCTTGGCTACACATTGGCTTTATCTGGGGATTAAAAAAAAATCCTTATGTGCCAACTATATGCATACTAATTACAATAACTCTGAGGTAGTACTTACAGACCTGATGTCAATGTGAGGGGGAGATGGAGAACTGCTGATTTAACATATGGCATATCAAAGAAGGGCAGGCCAGACTGACACTCAAGGAACAGGTTAACATTCAGATGTGGTTTCTTTTGCTTGGTAGCTGAGGCCTTGTACAAATACCTTAATTTTTCTAAACTTCCTTTTTCTCTGTTACAAAATTAGTAAAAGAATATCTAAAAAGAATTCTGCCTCTGGCAATTGTATTTTATGAGGTCATGTGGATCCACATGTCCTAGGTATCCAGTAAATTGTCAAAACAGGACTTTGATAAAATCACTGGGCTCATTTTAGAGGACTCTGGAGGTCTGGCCATGGTGTGAGTTGAGGAAACATTAAATGGTCTCTGTGAATCCATCTAACTGAAGGCTGGATAGCCTTGGCTTTGGCTTTTGGTGGCCTGGGTAGCATCTCTTCTGCTGTCACACACAGATTCATGTTTCATCTGGAAATTACTTCTTTTTCTCTAAACTGGCGCTAGAGGCTCAAACACTCTACCTGGTCGGCTCATGGCCTCACCCCCTTCTTCCTACAGAATGCTCTTTTAGTAGGGTACAGGCTGTGTCTGGAGGGCTTTCTTCAGGCTGGATAGGAGCAAGTTCATTCTGATGGTCAAGCCAACGACAGCCTGGATTAAGCATACATCTGGCTTCCTCTTTATCTTTGAATTACCTGGAAAATCCTGCTATAGGTTTAGGATTTGTGAGTTTCTTCTAATACACTTAGTTCCCTCGGACTATCTCTGGGGCCCTGGGATCTCTGGCAGTTGTTTACTTGATGACACAGCTGCAGAGAAGGAAAGCTCCATGGAGCTGCAGAAGGGGAGTATCTAGCTCCTTTGGGGACCTGCTGAGCTTGCTTCCCTGGTACCCAGTGCCCAGCCTCTGCCATCTTGAAGCTCTTGGGAGCACCCTCTCCTGAGCAGCTTGTGGTGTAGCTGAGATGTGGACCCACCAGCATTGGATGACCTTGGGCAAGTTGCCTCACCTTTCTGAGCCTTAGTTTCACCGTGAGCAAAATGGTGACATGAATGACTTTCTCCAAGGCTGCATTCGCCGGGGGCTGGTGCTCAGAAAATAGTAATTGTCCCTGATAGGATGGAGCCAATAAATTAAACCCATGAAAAGATAAATATATGAGTATATGGTAGGAACCTAAGTAAATGTTTGTTATGTCAGTGAATGACTGGGTACTTGAAGGGGGTCAGGCCAAGGGCTTTGGGTAAAGATCTCACCCAAAGACTGTTTAACCTGGGTTAAACAGTCTGGCTACTGTCATTCCTGAAAATTATAGCACATTCTGCTCTGTCCTTGCTGGTGCATAGGATTTGACATAACCTTTTCTCACCCACCAGATCATCTCTCTGCCTCCCCTATTTCTAAAGGAATTAAGTTAAAATAAACAATCTTGTCATGAGATCTTCAGGGAATATTCTAGGAAAATCACCTTTGCAAGGGTTTCTGATCTCAACAAGCCCAAAGCCCCAGAGCTTTGTAGGTGGGCAAATCATGAGTTCAGCTCAAATTCTCATTTTCTTTATTCACCCTTTCTTTGTACTGGCAAGATGTGAATTATAAAGATTGAATGAGACAGTCTGCAAAGTGCTTAGCACCATAACTAATACTCTGTAATTGTTGACAGTTATTCTGAGTGATAACAATCATTACTGCCTCTCCACACAGTGTGCTTCCTGTGCTTTGTGCTCAGAGTTAGAGTCGCCCAGGAGTGCTTCCATACTACCGGGTATGGGCAGTGCCCCATGGACATGTCACTGAAGCCCATCCTTGCCCCTGCCCATGACCAAGCCCATGCTAGCTCAGAGAGGGGAAGAAACAGTTTGCTTGTTTGTGGTGTGGGTGAAGGAGACAGGTGGGCATTGTCCCAGAGTTCTGACCCACTCACTACAAGCTGGCCTGGGAACTGCAAATTGGCCAGACCTTCAGAAGCAGCCAGAGGCTGCCATAGCTTAGCAGTCCTATGCCCTGTTGCAGTGGGGGATTGGAGGTGGTGGAAGTGGGGTCGAGCTTACTGGAGCTTTGCTGAATATGGTGGGTACAGACCAGGTACAGAGAAACACCTTCTTGAGATTTCTCCCTCTTGCTGTGGAAGCTGCCCCATCCCCAGCAGGAAGACACTGCAGAAACTTGGAAGAATTGGGACAGATTTGAATTTGTCTTTTATCTTCCCACAGGCCCTGGAGGACCGTGGTATTATAGAGCTGCTCTTCACCTCAGACAACAAGGATGGCCTCAAGAAGGGAGTGGTCAATGGAGGTACCTGCTAGGAAGCTGTGTGGGTGGCTGTGCTGTGCATGTCCCCCCAGGTGGAGAAACAAACAGGAGTTTCCCTGATGTCTTCTTTTTTCTGTGCATGACACAGTGCTGACAGCTCTGGGCTGCAGGGGCTGGACGGTCCCTGCACCGCCCACTGCCCCTTTCTCTTTTTAGCAAATGCTTTACCAAAGGTCTTCCCACTGCCAAGTGTTGTGGCCAGCTGTACTGCTGCTGAACTGCAGCTCTGTGCTCAGGGCGCTGACAGTAGTCTGCAGTTTGCAGGCTTCCTTTTTATCAGAAGGTTGCAGCTGTGCTCCCCCTCAATTGCTCAGGCCCTAAACATTGTTGCTTTCAGCTCCTGTCTTCCTGCCGGACACCCAAGCCATTCACATATCCTTTTATCTTTAGATTTCTCCTCAAAATCCTTTGGTCACCCTCTCCACTATGCCATCGTTTCCCACTTGCGTTATTGCCATAGCATTGCACCAACTTCCCCTTTTCTCAACATAGCAGCCTGTGTAGCCTTTGAAAATGCAGCTCAGATCATCTCGCTGCCCTGCGTGAGCTCCAGGTGCCCTGGAGAGAATGGCACATTCTGAGAATGACCCTGTGTGGTCTCCCTGTCTCCCATCCTGTGACCTCTCCCATGGCCTTTCCCACATAGCCTCCCCCTTTGCCTCTCACAGGCCTCCCCCGTGGCCTCCCGCCATGGCCTCCCAGACTGGCTGAGCTCCCCTCCTGTCCTGTGCTCACTCTGTTCCACCTTCCTTGCTTCCTGGCTGTTTCTCAAGCACACTGAACACTCCAGCCTCAGGAATTTCACTTGCCTTCTAGAGAGCCATGTAGCTGTCCTCGCAAGTCGCCTTTCTGAGCATCCTTCTGAAATTGCACTCTACCTCTCCAGGAAGCTCTCTCTGCCCTTATTTTGTCTTCTGACCTTCAGAGTCAGAGTTGTTTGTTTGCTTGATGTCTCTGTTTCACCCAGCAATGAATTGGTCCTGCATGCCCCACCCAGCAGCACCCTCCTGTTGGTGGCAGTCCAGCTCTTTCTATGGCTCCTGCACCACAATTGCTTCTATCCCAGCACATTCTCTGCTCTATTTTGTTTCTTTTGCATCTCCTTCTATAGAATGCCCTGATTGCAGACAGGGACTTTATCTCTACACCCCTCTAGCAGCGCCTGGTAGGTGGTTGGCTCAGGGTATGACTGCTGGTGAATGGGAAGAAGAAGGCTCTTGTCCCCTGCACAGCTAAAGGACCTGATCCCTGCTTCTTGCAGCAATTCCTGATGTTTCCACCAGGTGGCACTGTATCCCTATGTGATCTGGTCATGGTCCTGGGAGGGCTGTGGCCAGAGTCCTTTTGACTCTGGTGCACAGTTCAGCGTCTCACACCTCACAGTCTGCCGATTAAAGGCCATGCCCTCCCCTCCTCCCCTGCAGGCCCCATGCATCCCTGAGAATGACCATTTTGAAGTCTTTAACTTTTCTCTTTGGTACTTTCCTCCCTGTTTCTGTATAATGTGCACGTAGGGCCCTACATATAGTAATTTAAGAGCCTCCTTACTTTCAGTTCCAGTGGATGACTTAGTGTTCTCTGCCTCCTGTGTCCACCCTTTCCTGCCAGGTCACTGTGAGTGTTGATGGGCACCCTTGACTCAGGAGGTCTTCCTGCAGTGGCTCAGTGGGCCTGGTTTTCACTTTCAATTGCTGTTTTTCTTTGCATGTCAGTTCTTCTCTTTTTCTCCCTCTACCCCTGCCCCCACTGCTCTTTTCTTTTCTTTTTTTCTTAAGAAAATGCTTTGCAAAGATCTTCCAGTCATCCACCACTTTCTCAGGCTGGTGCAGGCCAGATTCCGCTGCTAGCTCATCCACACAGCTTCTGTCCTGAAGGCTAAGCTATGTCCCTCCTGTGTTGGACCCTCTTCCTGGCTTCTTGGAGTTTGTTCCAGCATTTTCCAACATCCACGGGTGCTGCTGAAACCCAGTGACATTCTGGCTCCCAATCCTTTTGCATGTTGTGTGTCCTTTCTCTCCCCCCATATCTAAAATCTTTTAGAATTTCCTTTTTATCTGGGCATTTCACAGTGATGCCATTTGGAGTGAGATTTTTTTGCTCTTGTGTCACTTCTGTGAGTCATTTGAGTTGACACTGTTTTGTTCATCAGTGGTCTTTGTGCTTCTTTGAGAATACTTTACCATCTTTTTCCCTGATCCTTTAGTCATTTGAGTGATTTGTACATGGACCCTCCTATTGATTCTCAGTGTCTCTGATCCTTTCTGATTTTTATTTCTTTGCTTTTTAGTTCTACTTTCTGGGTGCTTCCTCAGCTTTTATCTACTAGTCCTGTTACTTTATCACATTTTCCTTAAATTTATTTCTTTGCTTGTGGCATACTTTTTAAACAGATACTATATTTATTTAAGTATGTTTTCCTATTTTCTTGTGTGTGTGTGTGTAACTAGGGCTTGAACTCAGGGCTTTCAAGCACTCTACCACCACTTGAGCAATGCCTCCAGCCCTTTTTTACTTTCATTGCTTTTCAGATAGGGTCTTGTACTTTTTTTGCTTGGCTGGCCTCAGACCATGACTCCTTCTTCCTCTGCCTCCCTCCTAGCTGGGATTACAGGCGTGAGCCATCATGCCTGGCCCTCTCTTTTTAGTCTTAAGTATTTTATTCATTCCTTTCATTGGTTCTGCTTGCTCTGACTTCTTGTTACCTTTGCTGCCCAGTCTCCCAGATGAAGAAATGTTGTCTGTTTGGTTCTTACCAGGCAGCAGCCACTTGGAGCTCTGAGGTGGAGAGGATGGTGGACAGGAGCCCTTCCTTGTGACCATCTCAAGGAGGGAAACACGTGGGTGTCCAGAGATCCTGTCTTTAGCACTGTTCAATGTTTCTAGTAAAGAAGTCTTTGGTTTCTTGCTGTAGGTACTTGGGGAACAGATGTGAAGAATGGAGAGGAATCGCCTGTTGTGTTTTCACTTCAATCTTCCCTCCCACCTCTCACCCTGCACTTTCAGTTTTCTAATAGTGTATGGGTCCCACTGAGGGATGGGTGTTAGTGGTAAAGGAGGCTTGAGGACAGGGACGTGAAGCTGGGAATGGAGTGGGGGCTTTCACCTGTCTGGGTCTTAGAGTAGGGTAAGGCCCTAGGCTGGATGTGGGAACCACTGGAAACTTCTTCTACTCTCCTAGGCCAGCTACTGTCCCTATGCTTTCTCATTTTCCCAAGATTTCCTTAACACGTCTCCTCTGCTAACGTCTCCTCTGCATTCTTATTCCTTGTGGCCATCTGTCTCTCCCTTGTCTTGTACTTGGCAAGGATCAGGAAGGATAGGACATAGCTGCTTGTGCGCAGCTAGTGTGTGCATCCCATTGACTTGAGGTTTCTGTGTGGTTAGTTTCAGACAGGTCTCCTGAAGGAAGCTTCTGACTTTAGGTGAGGAGGGGTCTGGGGTGTAGGTGTAGGGTCTCGCCCAGTTGGTTGCTGGAGGACAGTGACATCACGGGACAATAGGTTGGTGTCAGAAGGGCCTGAGTTAATAGCTGTTCTCTTCTGCTCACCAATTGTGTGACCTTGAGGTGTGTTATTGTACTTCTGGGGCCTCAGCTGTTGTTTTTCTTCAGTGGTCATTAGGGGCTGATGTCTTGTAGGGTAGCTGGACTCACCAGCTGGACTCAAAGGCTGCACCAGTCTTTGTCATCATTCCTGGGCCCAAGCATGGGAAGCCAACTGTTTAGGTGGATAGCAAGCAGGCAAGGACCCTCAAAGTCAAGCACTGCTACTGGTCTAGGCCAAGGGATCCATGGCAATTAGATCACCATAGTGCCTCTTTCTTGAGCGTACATTTCACTGATGAAAAAACATAAAAGAGCTTTAAAAATTTGGCACTGGGGTTTTAATTCAGGGTCTCACACTTGCTAGGTAAGTGCTCTACCATCTGAACCAGTCCTCCCAACCCTTTTTTGTGTTGGGTATTTTCAAGACGGTCTCAGGAACTATTTGCCAAAGGCTGGCTTTGAATCTCAATCCTCCTGATCTCTGCCTCTTGAGTAGCTACGATTGCTGGTGTGAGCCACTGGTGCAAAGCATCATTTAAAAATTTTAAATGAACACATTATGGGGTAGAGTAGAAAATGAGCCCTCATTGAGAAATAAAGTGACTGTCTTTGTTGAGCTAGTTGTGCTATACTGAATGCTTGGGATACAAAGAGAAGATCAGATTATGGGTCCTATAAAAGAATAGTTAAGAGAAGAGCACATTCTGGCTGTAAAAGTTATACTCAATCAAGAATAGGTGCTGAGTGTGTGACTGCTCTCTCAGCTCTGTGATGAGTGGTGGAATTTCCAAGTTGAGCAAGGTAAGTCTCCTGGTATCAGAGTAGCTAATTCTAATCGGGGTAGGAACCAATGCCCAAAGTAGTTGACCTACTGTGCTGGTGGACTGAGAAAGGTCTGGTGTAGTCAGAAAGTCTTTCTGACTTGAAGACAATGTTTTGTTTCTCCTTTCCCTTCCCAGTGCTGGCCACCATCAACTTACAGTCACAACAGGAGCTGCAGTTACTGAACACCTTTCTCTTAAGCGCACAGGTAAGTCTGGCCCAGGGAAAGCAGGGCTTCTCAACACCGTGTAGGTATTAGATGGCCCAGCTGCTGTGCTTAGATTCCCCTGACTGAGAAGGACCCGGGTTCTCCTAGCCTTTCAGCCCTTGGCTGTGTTGCCTCAAGCCTGCAAGGGAAGCAGCAAAGAAGCAGCTCTGAGGTTTTGCTATGTCAGTTGATGCACCATGAGTCAGATTTACTACCTCTTGAGAAAGGGCACTTTGTGAAGTCCACGACCCCCAGACTTGCTCTGAGAGATTGAGAGAGGAGAAACTTCCCTGACCTTTACCTCCAAGGTCTCTTTGGTTCTGGAAAGATTTTTGTCGTCCACCAGACAAGGAGTCTTGGTCCATTCCAGGTTTGGATGGGAGAAGAGTTTCTGGATGTATTTTTTTTGCAGCACTGGAGTTTGAACTCAAGGCCTCATGCTTGCTAGACAGGTACTCTTACCACTTGAGCCACTCCACCAGCCCTTTTTTTTGTGATGGGTTTTTCAAGATAGGGTCTCACAAACTATTTGCCTGGGGCTGGCTTTGAACTGTGGTCTTCCTGATCTCTGCCTCCTCAGTAGCTAGGGTTACAGGAGTGAGCCATCAGTGCTTGTCTCTGGATGTATTTATGGGCATGTGCAATTCTGTTACAATTTAGGAGACAGATGTGATGAGGGTCAAGCTGTAGTCCGTGTGCAGAATTGAGGACCCCGCCTCTTACCCTGGCTTACTGAAGGGTGTGAATGCCGCTAGATTGTCCTGACTGTTGAATTACCTCCTTGATTCCCAGATCAGAGTGGAGTTGTTGGATTGCTTTTATCAGTTGTGAGCAGATGCACATGGTGGTGCTGGGCTGATGACTTGGGCACACTTAATGGTCCATTCATTGAGTAGAATGTCCATTCCAGCTGATGGCCTTTCAGAGCAGGTGTCATGTCCTCAGGCCTGAAAACATGCAGTCACCACAGCAAGATGAGGTCTTTCAGGGTGAGGACTATGTGTGTCTGGTGCTCCTGGAGTGAAGGCTGTCAGAAGGTTCCTAGGAGATGGACGGGGCCCAGATGAGCATCCACTCAGAGAGAGAATGGGTACAGTGGGTCCAGGTGGAATCCCTTTATTCTCTCTTTCCTTCCTCCAGTGTGACCTGAGTGCCTGCTCTGTGCCTGGAGTGGTGCTAGGGCCTATTACACTGTACAACAGACCAAAGGGTCTCTGTCCTTATGGAGTTTGCAACCTGTTTGGAAGTGAGAGACACAGGAAATACATGGCCATACCATAACTAAGTAGAATTGTACTTGAGACTGCCCAAGGAAAGTACAGGATGTTCTTACACCCACTTGGCCACTTCAGCATGTGACCTTGGGCAAGTCACTTAACCCCTTTATGCTTCTTCTTCTTCTTTTTTTTGGTTAAGTGAGGATGAGAGTCCCAATCCAGGGGGCCATTTGGTGACTAAGCATGGCAATATTTGGAAAGCAACACATTACTGCTGCTGATAAGAGTATCTACTCTTGGTCACCTGAAGTAGCCATGCCCATGCCATCTGGACTGACTATCCTGACAACAGACTGGCACTGCTGAAGCACTTTTTTGTGCAGTTAGGTGATGTCTATTTTCCTTAAAAAAGGGCTCTTGGATGCTTCCTTATTTAAATCAAGAGCTCTGGTTAACTGATAGCATGTCTGTGTGCCCATGATGAAGGTGACTGATGCAGATGCTTCTTGAGCATTTCCTGCATGCTAGACACTGTGTACTAAGGGCTTTATGTGCACTCCCTCTTGCAGTTCTCCCAGCAATCACAGGCACTAACTACTGTTACTACTATTTTACAGTCCAGACAGACCCTGGAATGAGTAAAGCACTTAGAAAGTAGTGAACTAGGGGTTCTAGCACAGTCTGATGCAGAGCTCGGGAGCTTTACCACATTGTGCAATGTGGTGATCTGAGCCACTGCTGGACATTCACCTCCCTGCCCCTGAAGCCCTTGAGACAAGGAGCCTGCTCCTGGCACTGGAGATTGCCAAAATATGGGACTTAGAATCTGCTTCTCCCTTTTTTGGTGACCAAATGTGTATAGTATATTCCTTCTTGGGAGGTAGAGAGTTTGTAAAGAAAACAAAGCCCCCAGTCTTGCTAAAAAAAATATTGTGACTGTATTAGCTTTTCCCCAGGAATCACTGATACCTTTGACTCAGTGGATCGTAAGTGTATTCCATGTCCTAGATCAGATTTCATTGCTCTGTGTGTACGTGACCTCAAAATCTGATGCTAACACGGAGGATACTCAACCAGCTGTCACTGAATGTGTGAGAAAGGCTCTTGGCACAGCACCTGAAATCCTAGTAGTTCAGGTGTTGCACCTCCCCTAGGTGCTCTGGGGCTTCTGCAAACATGGTTGGGCAGGGCATGGCCCTGGGAATAACCTCTGCATGCTTGGGCAATCAGGTGCCAAAGTCAATATTCTGAAATAATATTTAAGATTTGTTGAAAGTCCCAGTCAAGATATAAATCCAAGAAGGTAGCTATAGAGACTGTGCTGTGAATAGTTTTGTTGGAAGGCCCTGATTTTCTGATCCAGTTTGGCAAACTTCTGTTTAAGTTAAAACTTGAAGAGGACCCACTGTGCATCCCTCTGCTTCTTCTGAGGGAAGCAGCAACTCTGAGGGGTGTGCATCTACAGTGTTCCTCAGATGTGGAGTCATCCTGGATAGAATGTTCTCCTTCCCCAAGAGGATAAGCAGAAGTTGGCTTGATCCACAAAGCAGCCCAACCAATGTAGGAAAGGGCTTCCAAAGTTGATGCTGAATTCTGAGGAAGGCTTAATTTGAACAGTTACCAATGTCTTCTTACTAACACCTACCATATGAGCCATTAGAACCACATTAAGTCATCAGAGTCTATGAATCAACTCTAGTAGCCTCTTCTACTCTACACTTGTAAGTGTGGAGCCCACACATGTGTGTGAGCTGTCCTCATCTGTGCTCTGCTTCCCCAGGCCTGTCAGGCGACAGGTGTGTGGCCGGGGAATAGGTGGGAGGACAGAGAAGGGCATGCCTTCTCTGGGTTCCCTCCAGGAAGGGCATGCCTCTTTCCTTTATGGCCAACTTGCCTGTCTGACTCTTATCTTATGGCATGCAGGGGATTCAGCCCAAGATGGTGACAGAGTACTGGACCGGGTGGTTTGACTCATGGGGAGGCCCACACAATATCTTGGATTCCTCCGGTGAGTGCTTTACTCTGCCTATATCTGCATGTATGTTGACCCAAGAAGTAAGAATGAGTTTCACATTCCCTGCCAGTTGATTTATGGAGCTTTAGGGTACAAGGCTCCCTGGATCATTTGTGTTAATAATCAGTTCTTCATATCTCATTCATTTCTCTTGACATTTGAAGTGAACATTGCTTTAATGTATGTTTTTATAATTAGAAAAGTAATTCATGCCTATTACAAACATTTAGAAAACAAAGTATAAAGAAGAAATAAGCATCTCAAATCCCAGAGAAAACTTTTTATTTTGTAGTACTGGGGAATTGAACCTTGAACCTAGGGCCTTCAGCTTACTAAGCAAGTGTTCTGCCACTTGAGCTGTGCCCCCAACTCTCCCACGGAAAACATTTTGACCTGTACGGTGCATGCAGCCCTCAGGTATCTCCAGCTGCAGCCCACATGTACATACAGATAGAGGTAGAGACAAATGTGGAAAGATTCTGCCCTCTGTCACCTGCTGGACGTTATTGACACATGTGGACAGGTTCCTATACTACTAAATGTAGCTTTACATTACTGTCTTAATGAATGCAGAGAGCCCTGTTGTACTGATGACTAAACCACTCTGTACAGCCAGCTCTTCTTGATGAACCCTTAGGTTGTCTTCAGTGCTTTTGTTTTAATGAAACACTATTTCAGTGATCATCCTTGAACACCCAGTTTTGCACACCTGGCATATTAATTCCCTATGATAAGGAATAAATTGTGACATCAATGCAAAAAATTTTAGTATATTTATACTGAATTGCCCTCCAAAAAGATTGTAGCAAGTTCATTATTAAATGAGAGCACTTGTTTCCTGTAGATTCAACACTGAGTATTAAATAATTTTTAATATTTGCAAACCCAAGTCATTGTTGAGTTTGCATTTCTTTGGTTCATATTAATAAAATATGTATTTTTAACTATTTTCTCCTCCTATATTATCTTTTCATATCATTGGTTGATTTCCCAGCCAAGGTAGAACTGGGGAGGCAGGTGGGACTGCATCTGTAATAAAGAGTCCCATCTTTGTGCATTTTACTAAGTGAGAATAGACACTGGGAAGTATGCCTGCTGGCAGGGGTGGCTGGCCTGGTGCATGCTGTCCACATGACAGTAAGTAGACTCAATGAAATAAGAAAATAGGGGGCAGATTTTCTTCCTCCTTCCCTAATCTTCTATAGTTCGGGTTTTAGTGGAAACTGAAGGACAGAGTAATAAAGTGGACGTTGAGGAAGGTTGGGAACGTGAGGGACTCCTGAGGGCTTGCCTCGGTTTCTAACTTGCTCTGCATACCCCTCTTCCTCCCCTCCTTCTGAAGAGGTTTTGGAAACAGTGTCTGCCATTGTTGATGCCGGCTCCTCCATCAACCTCTACATGTTCCACGGAGGCACCAATTTTGGCTTCATAAACGGAGCTATGCATTTTCATGAATATAAGTCTGATGTCACCAGCTATGGCAAGTATACCCCAATATTGGCCCTCCCTGTCCTTCTCAGCATTTGCAGGGCCCGGACTTTTTATGCAGAGTCCTTTAGGGACAATTTCAGGCATCTTCAATTGGCTAAAAGGTAGAGGCTTTACCTGAATTGTTGCCTCTGAACTTTGAGTGCAGCAGGAGACTCCAGCCACTTGGTGTCTGTGAGCCGCTTACTCTGCTGAGAGAGCTCTTTGCAGGAAGAGAGCTAGGGGAACTTTCCTCCAAAGGAGGGGAGGCACATCTAGTATGATGGGGATGGGTGTGGCCTGTCCTCCTACTCAGGTGTAACCTGAAAAGATGTGACCTCTGTCTCCCTTTAGATTAAGAGTGCCCGAAGAGTAGGAAAGAGGCCTCATTTTACCCCCACCTGCAGCTAGGAATTCAGGGTCATGCTGGGATGGAGGGCAGTTTTATTTTATAGTATTGAGTATCTATGTCATTTTTACTGAATGGTTCATTCTAGAGGTGTGTTGCCTTCAGAATTGCTGGGCTGGGGACTCTGCTGCCCTTCCCCAGCTCTTCCTCCTTTTTGCTGCCCTGGGCACTGCCTTGTTATAGGGACAAGAGTGAGCCTAACAAACCTATGGATTTCTTGCAGACTATGATGCAGTGTTGACAGAGGCTGGAGATTACACTGCCAAGTACTCCAAGCTTCGAGACTTCTTTGGCTCCCTCTCAGGTACCAGCAAGCAGTGGACTCAAGCACCCATGTGGGCCCCTGCTTTTGCTCTGAACCCTCAGAATTATCATCTCACTGTTCCACCTGAACCATAGTTGATCTGTGCAAGAAGGTCCTGGACTGCTGGGAGGGTCACTCAGTGGTAGAGCACTTGCCTAGTATGCACAAGGCCCTGGGTTCCATCCCCAGCACCCCTCCCCTGGAAAGGAAGTTTGAAAGATTTCTCCACCTCCATCTCCACCTCTTGTTTGCTTGTCTGTCAGTACTGGGGTTTGAACTTAGGGCCTTGCACTTGCCTGGCTGGTGCTCTACCACTTGTGCTCCACCCTAGCCCTGAAAGACTATTTTCACATTATTGTGCATCTTTGTATTTGACAGATGCTAAAACTTCTTGTGTGGAGGACATAAGAAAGTCCTGCCCTAGGAGGCCATGCCTCCTAGAGTGGTGTAAGCATATACTGAGAAGGGGTCTGTTGCTCCTACTGGTGCAGGAGCACATTGTGCCCATGGGTAGGAGGCCAGAGGAAGCAGTGACAATTGGGTCCTTTAGGGATGACCATGTTGTCTGTCTGTTGCAGGTACCCCTCTGCCTCCCCCACCTGACCACCTTCCCAAGATGTCTTATGAGCCAATGATGCCCTCTTTCTACCTGTCACTATGGGACACCCTCAAGTACCTGGAGGAGGTGAGTTCTGTGGGTGGGAGGCAGGGGCAACCTCTGAGCAGGAAGGCCCAGAAACTCTCCAGGTGGGGTGCTGGGAAGAGCAGAGCAATCTTGATGGCTTCGAGGTCTGTTCTCCAACTTGAGAACAGAGTGAAGAGAACAAACTGGTGCTGGAGCACAAAGTGGGAGGGAACAGAAGAACTTGGAAATGATGGGGACTCCTTCAACCAGCCTCAGGGCCTGGAGCTGTTTCTCTAGGGCAAGAGGAGGGTAAGGGGTAGAGAAAGGGCTGACCCCCTCTCTCATGGAGAGGGAGGCAGGCACCTCCGGTAGCCTCATGTGGAATGTTGTGATGCAGAAATGATGGTAGCTTAAGTTACCCCCTTTTCCTATCCTACTCACCCCTGTGACTTTGGGGGGAACCAAAGTTTTAATACAGTGAGATGTCAGAATAGAAAAGAGGTTAGAACTCCCCCTACCTCCTGCCCCCAGTGTCCCTCCAAAGCCAGGCTTTGCCTCTGCCCCTCTAACCTCAGGGATCAGGGTGAGGCAGCAGCCTGGCCCCTGTGCCTCCCCATGTCTTCTGTATGTAGCCAATCAAGTCTGAAAAGCCAATCAACATGGAGAACCTGCCAATAAACAATGGGAATGGACAGGCCTTTGGATATGTTCTGTATGAGACCACCATTGCTTCATCTGGAGTCCTCAGTGGTCTTGTGTGTGATCGGGGGCAGGTAGGAGCATCTCTTCTTAATTCCTGGAGACTTTGAGTGACCAAGCTCTGCAGTATCCATCTTACTCTCTCTGCCCTCAGAATTGGCTTTTGCCAGTGTGTAAAATTGCCCATCCCTGATACCTCTTTTCAGCTGTGATGGCGGGCATTCGTTTTTTTCTCCGTGCCTGCTAAGCCCTCTCCTATGCGCACACACACACACACACACACATACACACACACAGAGATGCCTGTTTTATTGCCTGGCAGAGGCCCCTCTCTCCCTCCCTCCTGTTGACCATGGATGCTTTTCATCTGCTTGCTCTGGCAGGTATTTGTGAACACAGTGTCCATAGGATTCTTGGACTATAAAACGACGAAGATTGTTATCCCCTTGATCCAGGTTTGTTATCCTCGGGAGCTGGGTGATGGCTATCCCTGGCTGCTTCCAAGGAAGTTTGGTGGGAGTCAAAGAGGAAGACCCAGAAGACAGCAGGCTAACCACAAGCTGCGGATGGAGAGAGACGAGCATGGTTTTCTGACCAGCCAGGGCTCTCACTCCCATCCTCAGAGCATAGGGAAGAACTGGGGGCCATAAACAGACTCCCAGGTGCAGCAATGACCTCATGGCTGGGTCATCAGGCGATCATCATCGGCCACTATGTTCCTGGCAGGGTTACACTGTGCTGAGGATCTTGGTGGAGAATCGTGGGCGAGTCAACTATGGAAATAATATTGATAATCAGCGCAAAGGTGGGTTCTAGCCTAAGCCAAGAGAAGAGTTGCCACTCCTCCTTATAGACATGGCTTTTTTCTCCCTACAGCACATCAAAAGGTCATGGAGGCCCCCTGGAGGGAGGTGGGTTGTGGAGATCCGTCATAGGGAGCTGGGTAGTAGAGGTCCTTGGAGGGAGGTAGGTCATGGAGACCTATTGCAGGGAAATGAGGGCTGAGTTAACCTACACGTGAGGCCAGGTGAGTGGGCTTGAAAAGCTTAGCTGGGGTCTGAGCACTTTCCCTTTAGCATTCCATGAGTATTTTGTCCAGGTGCTCAGGAGGAATTCACATGAATCCTGAGCTGGCCTCTCAGTCTCTCCCTGAGCTGACATCTGCTTTTGCCAGAGGTTGCTTGTGGGGGTAGTGGGTGAGGAACTGGGGATGGGATTTCCAGGAATCCAAAGAGAGGCATAGGACCCCTGCCTTCCTGGATCTCCACATGGAATTTCTTTTCTTCAACTCAGGGAGACTCATAGGGTTATGTTTCTGTGTTAAGGAGGAGGAGCAAGGGATGCAGTAAGAAAATGCCTTTTGTCAGCATGCCCCTCTAGGAATATCCCATCAATACACTTTATTGTTCCTGGCCTTCTGATCTTTTATTCTTTAATTTAGCTCTTCTTTTATCTGTCTACCTAATGTGGGTGGTTTCAAGCAAGCTATTAAAAAAAAAAAAGAGCTCAGATCAAATCACCCTGCTGTGGTGGGGAAGACTGGTGAACTTACAGTTCTCTCCCAGCGGTTCACATTTGTAGTGGAGGAAACTCATCCTTCTCTTCCCTGGCCAGAATTTTAACAGAGAGCCTTCTGGCAGCCTGCCAGGGAAGCATGTGGCTCCGGCACTGGGGCTTTCTCTCCAGAGAGGGCACAGAGTAGCTTCTAGCACCATCCAGGCATGCCTTTCTTTTCCCAAAATAGTTCTATGGTTCCTCTCTGGGTTTCAGTGCCTTCCTCTGCTTCCCTCTCGAGTCCATCTCATTTCCTTTGTTCTCCTGGGGGTTGGAAGGATCTGTCGGCTAGATCCTTGTCGCTGGTCTTTGCTTTCCTAGGGAAGTGTGTGTCCTGACCTGCTGGGGAGTCCTGTTCTCTGGGCCACAGTTTGTAGGGGAGTCCTGTTCTCTGGGCCACAGTTTGTAAGTCCCTGACCTAGCCTCCAGGAATACAAGTACTTGTGCACACACTTGTACCTGCCATGTTAGAGCATCTGCGGGCTCTGAGAAGCCTGTTTGCATTCCTCAGCCTCTCCCAGTCCCCACTGTAGCAGCCCTAGTGGATACACCTTCTGGGCTATCATGGGGCCTGTTCCAGGACCAACAGAGCTGGCCTTGTTCCTAACACACTGATTAATGCCTATTCAGGTGTGCACAGTTCCTTTGTGTTGGATACCCATGTGATGTTGCCATCTGCTTGCAATTTAAATGCTTTTTTAGACCTGAGTTACCAGGTCTGTTTAGTCTGGGACCCTACTGATGCTGACCTTGAAGTTAGACCTTTGTCACCTCTTGATCATGCAGAGCTTCCCTCAGAGAGAGGCAATGCAGTTCTCACCATTGTGACATGCCAGCTCTGTCACTGCCCTTGGATGCATCGTTCTTCCGTGCAAGTGCAAGGGCCTGACAAATAATGTCTTTGTTCATTGTCATCCCCTTTCACATATCTAGGAAAGTTTTAGTCCAAGTGTAGAGCTCCTTAGACAGTGTATGCTTTAGGCAAATCTTCATTTGAGTTTTCTGGGAACTTTCCATGCATAGCCCCAGTCATAGAGGGGTCATCTTCCCCCCATCTTCCTTGTGTTTCTTTGCTTCCTTCCCACAGGTTTAATTGGAGATCTCTATCTGGATAATTCTCCCCTGAAAAACTTCCGAATCTACAGCCTAGATATGAAAAATGGCTTCTTTCAGAGGTGGGTCTCTTCCCTGTGTCAGAGTGTGAGCTCTTAGATAATATGTAGCAGGAGCCAGGAGGGGCCCTGACCTCCCATGTCAGGATCCTGGAGAGGCCTAATTAGACCCAGAGGCCAAAGCCTCTTGCCCCAGGTGAGGGGCTGGGCCAGCAGTGAAACCCCATGTTTTCATTGCTACCTGATTCTCATGTCTGGGTCCTGGTTAAGAGGCAGGGGGCTGGGGGACCTGGGACAGGAAAGAGGTATGCCTTAGGAATTAGATGCCGGCTGGAACCACATCTGAGAAAGTCCCTCCTTCCCTTTCCTGCCCCTGTCCTGTCCTTAGGTTGGACATCCACAAATGGAGTACTCTTCCAGATACTCCCACGTTCCCTGCCTTCTTCTTGGGCAGCTTGTCAGTTGGTCCTAACCCTTCTGACACGTTCCTGAAGCTGGAGGTTTGTAGCCCCTTTCCCTTTCCAGTTTGTTCATCTCTCTCAGGACTCTGAGTCTAAACCCACTTGTGCTTGGCCTGGGTGGGGCACTATGTAGTACCTGGGCCCAGGAGCCTCCCTTTTTGTCACCCTGTCTGACAGGGGCTCTGAGGCCTCCCTGGGGTGGAAGAGGGGGCTCAAAATGGAAGAAACACCTGGTGGTGCTCCTTGGGGCCCAGGTTCCTACATCCAGACCAAGCTTGTGTGCCCTGCATGGAAGGATCTGAGATAGTGAGAATGGGAGGCAGAACAGGTCCCCTGTTAGCCTTCATGGCTGTCAAAACAATGGCTTATTTTGGTCTATTGGAAGCTGAGTAAAGAACTCATATATGTGTCTGTCTGCCTTCTGATGTTACATTATCTTTGGTGACTTTTGTGGTACACTAACACCCTTCCTACTCTTTTTGAAGGGCTGGGAGAAGGGGGTTGTATTCATCAATGGCCAAAACCTTGGACGTTACTGGAACATTGGACCCCAAGAGACCCTCTACCTCCCAGGTGCCTGGCTGAACAAAGGAATCAACCAGGTGAGAACTCTACAAGCCTCCTTCCCTTCTCCTTGTGACTTCCTTTCTATCTCTGCCCTCCCTGGTACCAAATTGCTTCCCTGGAGCCTTTGGTCAATGAGGAGAGGGCAGAAGTTGACCCTCTTCCTTGGTGTCAAGTTGGTCCTTGTTCCTTTAACTCTGTTTTCTAAACCCTTCCCTTTCAACTCCATACCATGTGATTCCCTCATGGTTCCAGGACAGACCTCATAGCCCAGCCCTTCTCTCTCCCACAGATCATCATTTTCGAGGAGATGATGGCAGGCTCCGTGGTCCAGTCCACTGACATCCCCCACCTGGGCCGAAACCAGTACATTCACTGAGTAGCAGCTCCCATTCCCTCCTGTTCTGGTGGGAGGCTCCCTTCTGCCTGCCCTGCAGGAGTCTCCTTAAGTAGCCACCTCAGGGAGCCAAGGGTTATAGGCTCAGTCTAAAACTCTAAACCTGGTGGAATGAAGAGAAAGTTGGGGTGGCCTGGGGATGGGGACCTCCTCATACCTAGATGGCTCTCAGCCTGGCTTTGTGGATAGAGTCTTTTCTGCTTCTCTGATCTTCCTGGAGAGGCTGGAGGGATGTATCTGAGAGGGTGGGAACATTAAGTCAGATCACCAAGGGTTGTCCACCTGGGGCCCTCAGAAAAGGTGCTGAAGGTGGGTGGCACCCGTTCTGGAAGTTGAAACCCTGTTGGCCAGTCTGTTGGCCACAGGTGTGCCTTCTGAATGCTTCTGGTGGGGTTTGGTGACCACCTGCACAGCCTCTTTTTGTTCCTGAGATGCTAGATTTGTTACTGTTAGTAGAGGATAGGGAAGGGGGAGTTATCTCTCACCTGTATCAACTTTTTCTTTCTTCACCACCCTCCTCAATCCAACTGTAGGACTGTGGAAGAAATTCCACTTGAGAAACCTGTGTTTTCTACTTTTATTCCCTTCTCACTGCATCTGATAGGTTGACAGACTGAATCTGAGGATTTGCAGTTGTATTCAGTGGGGAGGAGTGCCAGCTGAGGAGGGATCTTGGGTCCCAGAAGAAACCACATCTTTATCTGAGATTTCAGTGAGGTAAAAGGCAGAGGCCCAGCTAAGTGACAGTGGGAAGGTCTGTCCCCTGGAGTTCTGGGGTAGACCCACAGGGGTTTAGCACAGGTCTTGTCTTCAGCTCAGTGGATCCTCTGCCCCAGTGACCAAGCAGCAAGGAGAGAGGCAGCCTTCTGCCATGTTGTCTCAATGTCAAAACTGCAGGCTCTTGTTCTAGAGATCAAGTGCAATGGTTTGGCTCAAGCTTGCTATTTTGAGTGGCAATAAAGCAACAGAGTGAATCAAACCCTGTTCGACAAGGTCTTCAGTCTCATCTGTGCCACTCTAAGCCATGGGGAGAAGGTGGCACTCTAGGATCCAGACACTGACAGTACTCAGCTGGTGGATGGTCCACACCCCTGTATTCTTACTTCCCCTCCTGACCTCGGTTCTCCTTGAAATGCTGCCGCATTGGAAGTGCCCCTGGAGGTGAGATGTCAAGTACAAGTCCAATCGCATGCTGGTGGGCAGGGGGAAGAATCTGCTGGATAGCTACAAGTTACCTACAGGGGATAGTTTTACTTCACAAACTACATCTGGCACATTCTGCCCCAAACTAATTATCTTCAATAACAGTCAAAGTCAAATAGTGCACACCTTCTGAGCACTGTCCACGTAGGAACCCAGTAAAGACGGGTTGAGGAAGAGTGGGCTGAGGGGCTCACAGGTTGATAGGCTGGCATCCTGTGTATGGCTGAGGACAAGGTCTATGTTCAGGGTGGAGGCTGGTGGAAGGGAGCCACTGAACCAAGAACCCAGCTGGTTCAATGGCAGATGGTCATGGGGCCTGGCCCCAAGTGTCTCACTTGGGGCAGAGAAATGAAGCTTTTTTTTTTTTTTTTGAGGCAGGATCTTGTCCAGACAGGTTTAGAACTTGATTTGTAGCCCACGCTGACCTCAGACTTGTAGTCCTCCTGCCTTAGTCTCCCAAGTGCTGAGATTATAGGCATGTACCAACACACTTGTCTGAAATGGAACTTATTAAAGTGAAGGCTGTGGACAGTGGCTGGAGAGGAAGACAGAAGCAAAGTCCCCAATTTTATCCAAACTCACCAGCTTTTCTGAGATGTCATAGAATGGCAAGCATCAGGCTAAAGAGCCTGGGGGATATTTGAGCATGGCTTGAGCCAGAGAGCAGTGTCACAGCGTCATTTTGTATTGTGTTACATAAGAGTGGGTTTCTGCAGAGCTGAATGTAAGCTGGACCGTGTTGAAAAACGTGTCAGGAAATTGGACTATAAGGGAATCTTACAGTGAATCCTTTTGTAAGGTGAGGAATCCCCTGAATTACTGTTTTATGCAAACCTGAGCAGGGATGCACTGGCCTTTTAAGCGAAGGTTTTCGTCTGTATCTGCTTTCCTATCAAAACATCCTTTGGCAGAGCTTGTTCTCCAGAGTTCAGTAAAAGTTCATTCAGGTCTTGTGCACCATATGGCCCCATCTCAGCCTCTTTGGAAGATTCCTCCTCGTACACCAACTTCTGAATGCTAAGGGTCTCTAGGCTCATTTGCTGGGCTCATTCTTTCCTATGTGCATACTCTGTGTGGTGCCTGTGAGACCTGTGGCTTTGTAAACAGCCTCAACACCAATACCCTCCAATGTCCTTCCCATCCTCGCTCCAGTTATATGGGCCATTGGCCCTCACTATCTCTTGTGTGTGTCTAATAAGCATCTGAAACAAAATTCAGTTTCCCTTACATGATACTTCCTGCAGTCTGTCCCATATCAAGAAATGGAAATTCCATTCTGTATCTCAGGTTTTTTTTTTTTCCCTCTCTATACCTGACATCTAATCCCTTGGCAAATCCTCCAGGCTCTAGCTCTTAAACACATCTGAAATTCAACCACCTCTTCGCTCCAAAACTGTGCCCACAGCCAGCCCACCATCATGTTGTGCCTGGGTTACTGCAGAGCACCTGCCCAGTCAGCCCTCCCCTGCTCCATTTGTCCTCAGAGCAGTGCTTCTAAAAGGTCAGTTAGATTAGTCTGGTCCTCTGCACTGAACCCTCCAAAGACTTCTTATTTCAGTCAGTGTAGAAGCCTACCCTGCTCCCAGGGCCAACAGATTCTGGGCTTCCCCCCTCACATGCCCTTCTCATCTCCCACCCCACCCAGCCCCCTTCCCTGGCCAGGTCAGTTGTAGCCACATGGCCATTCTGCTGGGAGCATGCAAAGCACTCTCCCATCTGGGGAGTTCTCCCTTCTCTGAATGCTCTGACCAGGAAACTGCATTTTTGGGGCATTGCTGCTCTGCACAGTCACCTTATCAGGGAGGCCTTTCTGACACTTTAGAGAACCAAGGTCCTTCTCACTGCTACACACCATCTCCTCCATTCAGCCTCATTCTCATAGGGTCACATCTGGCACGCTATCCAGTTATTCTTTGAGGATCTCCTCTCATTAAAGGGTAAGCTCCATGAAGACAAGTGCTTTGTTTCTTCACTGCTGTCTGCTGGCTTCTAGAATAATACCTGCTTAGAGTAGGTATCCAACAAATGGATGGTTAAGCTAAAAATGAGAAGAAAATAATGCAGGGCTGAAAAGGATTAGGACTGTTAAAAATCACGTTTGACTTTTAATTTTGAAAACAAATTAAATACAGTTAAATTAAAATAGACCAGGTAGTCCAGCTGCTTGGGCTCCACCCTCACCCCAGCCTCTGCCCTCAGAACACCTAACCTCTGGCCTCACTCTTTTGTGGTGAGGCTTGCCAGCGAGGAACCAGGGAACAGACTGGGTTTGAAGAACAAATTGTTACGGTCCCAATTCTGATTTATAACAAACTCATTCTCAACAAAGATGAGGGCTGCAGTCCATCAGGGTTATAATTATAAATAAATACACATGCAGCTAAGAGAGGATATTAGGTGAAAACAACAGAATAGTGTCTGCCCAAAAGAAAAAAAAAAAAAAAGTCTCCATTAAGTTGTTCATTATCAATTTCCTGAAAATGAGCCCTGGGTTTTTGGCTAAGAAGGCAGCCTCAGAGCAGCCAATTTGACCTTGGCATTCAGGGCTAGTTTCCATGAGCAAGGCAGTAGAGTGCCCAGACATAAATTCATTCATCTGATGGATGCCCTGAGACCACCTCCTCCCTCTCTCCTATGCTACCCCACTTGATGCCACAGGGCCAATTTCCAAAGCAACATCCAAAGTATAAGAAGTTGGGGAAAATGCCCTACAAGGTGGCTACCTTCTGGGCTTATGAATACCATGGGAGGTTAAATACATTTCAAAATAGGCAGCCAATGCTATATTCTCAATGTTAGGTCTTTGGACTGAGTCCCATCCACTCACCACCCACCTAGAAGTGGGTTCTGAATGGCCCTCAGACTTGTCCTGTGAGTTTTAATGGAGTTGGGGGCTGTTAGCAGTTAAAAATAAACATCTCTTCACTGGGCTTGGGCCCTTTCCTTTTCCTCCACTTGGGAAGAAAATTGTGCTTTCCACTTTCAGGAACATGAACAAGATCACCACCAGAAGGCCCACCGGGTCAGAGAGCCAGGGGCCTCTCCCATGGCCTGCATGACCCTGGGGAGATGCTTCACCCAGGGGAGGGCAGCAGCTCCTGGCATACTGTTCTCTCTCTGGGGTGGAGAGGGGCCAACTGAACATGAGGCAGGCTGGCTCTGCACGCTCCCAACTTAGGGATAAATGAGATTTCCTTCACATTCAGTGTTTAAAATAGAATGATTTCCAAAGCAGTGTATGCTTAGGTCTCTTTTCCTTCCAGTGTCCAACTAATCCTTGCCCCCATTCCTAAATCCCTCTGCTAATCCACCCCTGACCCAAGCCAGGGGCAGGAAGGATTTGGGTACTGCCCTGGCCTCCCTTCACTCTCCAGGGCTGGAGGAGCTCACTGCCTGCCCACCACTGCTCGCTCCTGCCCCGAAGTCTTCGGTTATCAGGAATCCCAGAAGAGGGCTTCTCATCTCTCTGGTCCAGGCCAGGCAAGGGGCCCCACAGCTCAGGGGTAGTGGGGAGGCAGTGTGTGGACAGTAGTGTCACATGGTTCTTAGTCCAGGTCGTTGGTGACCTGTGCTGGCTGTAGGCCCACCTCCTTGCCAGTGATGGAGGAGAAGGCTTGAGGGACATGGGCGAGAGAAAGGGGCTCCGCTCCCACCCAGCCTGAGGTACAGGGGGACCTACTGCAGGCCCAGGTTCCCCTCATGCAGGGCTGGGTGCCAGTTGTGATCCAAGACAGCCTTATGCTCTGTAAACATGAACCAGAGGAGAGCCAGAGGTATGTCTGATTGGAGCAGCTCTTAGGAAGAGCAGGTGCTGAGGGTGGGGGGGGGGGCACCTGTGATGCCCCAGGGCTGCTCTCTGGTCCTCAGAATTCCCTGGCTGGGCATGCTGAGTGTCGTGCTAGGCCCAGGAGTGGAGAGCCGGGGTGGGCCAAGCTCCACTCGATGGCAGGCTCTTCTCACCTCCCTCCTAGCCCCAGCATCACTGAGGCAGGCCTGGGTACCCACACAACTGCTCTCATGACCCTGTCAATGCAGGAAGCTTCAGGGAGGTGTGCTGGGCATGGGCTTTGCTGGCAGCTGGAACCCAGTCCTCAGGTCCCTCAGGCCCCCTGGTCATGTTAGATGGAGAGAACATCAGGTCTGAGATTTATTTCTGTGCTTAAATTCTCTGTCCTTTGTCCTGGCATCAAGCTGGGCTCCCTTGGAAGCCCACAGAATAGAAAGGAGGTGATGGTGGTTCCTTAGGAGTCTGCCTTGGAGGGACCATCAGCCATGGGAAGGCCTAGAATGGGCTCTGAGAAGGAGGCTCCTGTGGAGAGGAGGAATGAGAGAGGTATCAGCTGAGGGTGTGGTGGAAAGGGGATGGCCAGTGTGGCACACTGCTGGATCCCGAGCTCCTAATGAGTCAGATGGAGCTTCACAGAGCCTCAGACCCTGTGACCTCTGGATTGAATTTAGGGCCTTGGGCTTGCTAGGCAAGCCCTCTACAACTTGAGCCACACCTTCAGCCATTTCTACTCTTAGTTTATTTTTCAGAAAGGATCTTGTGCTTTTGCCTGACCTAGGAGTACAATCCTCTTACTTCCACCTCCTGAGTAGCTGGAATCACAGGAACGAAGCATCACACTTGGCTTGTTTTATAGGTCATGTCTCACTAACTCTATGTCTAGGCAGGCCTCGAACTATGACCCTCCTATCTCCACCTCCTGACTAGCTGAGATCAGGTGTGAGCTGCCGTATCTGGTTTGGAGACCTTTTTCGGGGCAGGTGGGGAAGGCTCTCCCAGTAACCTGGTGGGAACAAGAATCTGTACTGATTCATTCTAAGTGGCCTGGCCAGATAACTTTTTAAGTTCAGGGGACAAAACAAGCAGTGACACCCTGTAGTCCTCTGTGGATAGGATGGCTGCATATGTCCTGGGGCCAGAGGACAGATATTCTTCCACTATCTAAGTGCCCACCTCTATTCGGCATGTGCATAAGGAGTCTTGAGTCAGAGGCAGGCTAATGTCAGAGAAAAGTCCCTTGAAAATTCTTGTGCTAATGTGTCACCTTGGGCAGCTTTTCTGAATATCATTGCTTTACCTCTAAATTGTAGGTCGATCCTGGCCCACCTCCATAGAAGGATTTAAAGAACTATGTAAGAATAGCAACACTTATACAGGATTTGTTATTCTGTGCCATAGGCTGTTCTCAGTGCTCCTAGCAACCCATTTTGCAGGTGAAGAAATTGAAGCACAAGTATAGTTAGACAAAACAGAAAGGTAGTAGGCCTGGGCACTGTAGCGAGCTCTGGGGCCCATGCCTTCACCCTGCATTGTACTGTATTGAGAACCATGGGGCTGCTGGCATGGACTGAGTGACCCTAGCCACAGCCACCTGACTGAATGGGAAGCCAGAGCATCTGGGGAGCAAGTCTCAACAGCAATCCTTGCTGTAGTTCAGACACTATGACCAGCATGACTATGCCATGATAAGCTGTCAGGAGGAAGGTGCTGCCTTTGGATGTGTCTGCTGGCAGAAGGACCCATTTGTGTCCTTTACCTATCAACTGTCAGGTAACACACAGGAAAGGGACTTTGTCATGCCTCTTCCTCTGCTAGCATTTGCCCTATCCTTCCACAACTGAAGACCAAGAGGAAAAGCCCTAAGACTGATGCTGAGTCCAGACCTGGTATTGTGCTGCCCTCTTCCCCACTGTCCTGGTCTTCCCTCCTACCTGTATCCTGAGGCTCAGATCTCCACCGAGGGGTCAGTGAAGCCCTTCTTCCCTTCATTCACCAACACTGGCTTCTCCGTCCGTGTATGCCAGACCAGAATCTGTGTGTCCAGAGACAAAGTGGGGCAGGTCCCCAAATCACTGTGCCACCTCCCAGCTCCTCCCACACCCTAAAAGTATTTCTCCCACCCCTCCCTTTCCTCTTCTGTTCCATCAAGATTTTCTCAATTGTTCTTTATTTCTACCTGCCCCCTCATACTTGCCGTTTGTACACGTGATGCATTCAGAATATCTGTTGCAAATGAGAAGTCTAGAACTACAAAAAACAGACAAATCCCCAGGTTTCCCAAGCACGTGTGTGTGTGTGCACGTTTATGCAGATGCGTGCTTGTGTGCACCTGCCATGGCTTGTGCATGTGGCTGTGTATGTGCTCACTAGGGAGGTGATGGAGCACAGCTGTTCTGAAGGAGGGCAGCAGCCCTTGCTATGGCTCCCTTGTGGTCACCCCTCCTCATTTCTCTGCCTGCCTTCAGTGTGGCACCTTACAGGTGATAAACTTCTTTCCTGGGTGAGGCTGCAGGCAGGCAAGGCTATTTGGAAGCCTCTCTTTCCTTCCCCCTTGATCTATAGAGGGTATGGATGAGCTTGGGAGTGCTTGCATTACAGCTGTGAGTCAGCAGCTTCTTACCTTGGTGCAGTTGGCTGCCTTGGGCTCTAGGTCATTGAGGGTGACAAGTTCTCGCAGGAGGCTGCTTTCCTGGTAGCCTCCCTTCACACCACGCAACTTAAAGTAAGCCTGGCTTCGCTGCAGGATGAGCCGTAGGTTGACAGCAAATCCAGCCATGTCTATTGCAAATGGTCGGTGGGGGTCGAACACCGTCTTCCAGCCAACCACCTTCCCTGCCCCATTCACTCGTGGGGCCTCATACCGAAGGCCACCAACAAAGGCCACAGGCCACACAGACACCTTCCTAGTGGTACGCATCTACAAGGGGAGAAACCAGAATCAGGACACCTGGGTCTTCTGATAGAGGTGAAATCCATGAATTGGCATTGAAGCCATGGGAGGTCCAGTTCAGCCACCTGCAGACACTGTGCCAGATGGGTCCCCACAGAGGAATCTCCCCTAGGCTGTAAGACCTGCCTCAGACCAGCAGGTGGTCACTTTCTTGACATGGCCCTGCTGTTTTCTCCCTTGCATGAAACCTTTCGATTTTACCACTTTATAGTCTGAAATGCCCCCTCCCTTTGCATGGCCCATGAACCCCAAAGAAACTCAAACTGTTTTACTGAAGCTTCTGCTGGTTGTACTGAATGGCCCACTCAGAGGCCTCATCAAAATACACATTTAAGGCCAAGGAACTCTAAACCCACCCGTTTTCCCTTGAAGCGGTGGGGGATGCTTTAATCTGAGTGAGGTTTTTCCATTCCTTTCCTTGGTTCTCTGCTGTCCACATCCAGCCAGCCCAGGGCTCCTTATGTGTGTGTATCCCCACCGTAGCGCCCCCTTCTGTTCTCCACCACCAGAGGCCCCAATACCCACACTGTCACTCTCTCCCGCACCTCTTCAAAGAGCTCCAGACTGTAGGTGTTGTCATCGTCAGCGAAGTACACGACGCCGGGCTGGGTGGAGTTACGCGGGAAGGTCTCTCGCAGCCAGCGCAGAGCCAGGTTGCGCTGCATGGTGCCCCGCGGGATGCGCGGGTCTCGGGCATCACCTCGCAGCTTGTAGTTGCGGGGCGTCTCCACGTGCAGGTGAGTGTAGTTGAGGCCCGTGTCGCGCAGCAGGCGCGCGGTCAGCGGCGTCCTGCGCGGCGCGTCCTCCACCACTAGCCAATGCAAGTTAGGAACGTGCAGCAGTGTGTTGGCCATGCGCGTGAGCTCGGCCTTCTGCACCGGGCGGCTGTAGGTGGGCGTCACCACGTGGATGGTAGGCAGTGTGTCGGACCACGGCGGCGGCCGAGTGTATACGTACTCTGTGCGCACCACCTCCACGATGTCGCGATCCGACATGCAGTACTCCCTGGGGTCCGCACCGGGGGGCGCTTCGCGCCTGGGGTCACCGCCCTCATCTGTGGAGTTGGGAGAAAGGCAGTGTGGGGAGGAAGGCACTGCTCTGACCCCTGATACAGAGCTCTGCCAGGGCAGCCTTCTTCTCTGCCCCTCTGCAGGGCCTACACCGGGGCCCTGTCTCATCTGCATCCCTAGACTTCTCAGGAGTGTCTCTAGTTCTGACTCCTGGGACGACTCAAAAATTACCTCTTCCTGCTATATTTGAGCCCTGCAGCTTTGAGCATAGTTGGCCATATTTCTCGGTTTCTAAATGCCTCCAGTTTTCTGTGACAATGTCCTCACCCTTACCTCCCTTGTTCCCTCATCTGTGAAGCTGACTACACAGTAGAGTGGCACTGCCACTGTTTGTGGTGTGGATGCCACATAGCTGAAGAGCAGTGCTGATGTTGTGGCTGTGACATACTTTGGATCCCAAGGCATCTCAGGGTAGCTTGCCCCAGATTTTTCACAAACCCTCCAATTAAGTGGGCCTCTCTCCTCCTGACCTTAAGTAATCAACTCTTCAAATCTTGGTGCAACTCAGTATTTAACTACTGCATTCCATCCCCAGTGGGTTTTGCCCATGGTTGTCAAGATAGTTTTGAATCCTGAGTGTTATTCCTGATTTTAGACCTTTCTCCATGTGGGCATACAACTGCTTAAGTTCTTCCATAGGTCTGGTGTGAGTCTCCTTATTGGCACTTCCTGGACACAGTCATTTGACCATCCTGAATACTAACTATCCCGCTGTCCTGGCATCCAGCTGATGTTTCTTGTCTCCACCTCAAGGATGCCATGAGGGACACTTGGAGAAGCCTGGCCTTTGGTCACACAACTCATGGGTATGGAGAGCCATTACTTCCTGAAGGCATCCTGCTCCTGTTGGGGGCAGATCTAGTGACCAAGGTTTTTTACAACCTGGACATGTTTCTCGTTGGGGAATCTAGCTGTCCCATTAAAGAGGAGAAATCAGGTCCATTGGCATTGTATTCTCCAGGGTCCATCTTTCTGTTTGAAGGGCTCATGTATAAACCAGGTGTCTCACATGCCATCTCAGTGGTAATGGTCAGAGGGCAGACCTAGAAACCTGAATGCCTGAGCTTGGACCCTACCTTCTGCCACCAATTTACATGTCCTTGGGCGAGTTACTTAGCTTCTGCCTTGATTTCATTGATTGTAAATTGGAACTAATAAGAGCATCTTCTTGGGCTGAGTATGGGGCTCATGCCTGTGATCCTAGGTACTTGGGAGGCAAGTACCTCAAACTGAAGTTTGAGGACAGGCCCAGCAAAAAGTTAGCAAGACCCCCATCTCAATCAATAAGCTGAGTATGGTAATGTTCATGTGATCTCAGCTATTCAGGAGGTCATAGGTAAAAGGGTCAAGTCTGAGGCTACACTGCACAAAAACTTGAGACCCTATCTGAAAAACAGCTAAAGCACAAGGGGTCTGGGGGTGTGGCTCAAGTGGCAGAGTACCTGCCTAGCAATGCAAAGTCCTGAATTCAAACTCCACCTCTGACAGCTCTCCCCAGTAATACTGAATTAATGGAGTTATCATGTGGCTTAATGAGTCAATCATGTCAAGTGCTCAGAACACTATCATTGCCTCATGTGTAGGACACTTAGCTGTGGTTCCATGAACTTACAATAAGGATGAAATGAACAAGTCACATGAAAGGCTGGAGTGTGGTCACAGAGAAGACACTTACCTATGAGACTCTGTTCTCTTCCTCTCTTCCACCTTTAGCAGCAGGTGGGTTATGAGAGTACTTGTGAGGAGGCCAGTGTGATGAACCCCTAGAAGGGAGTGCTCACAAGCTAATGGTGCAATAAACACACAGCCACAGCTGGGAGCCTGTTACCCAGGCCACAGACACAATCCTAGGGGTGAGGGTAGGGAGGAACCTGGCAGAGATGGAGGTCATCAAAGGTGGCTTTTGGGGGGAGTTTAGGTCATACCAAAAAGCGAGCAAGGTTGAGGAAAGTGGGATGATGGGTGTCCAGGATTAGGACAAAGATTTAGAGGCATTTTGTCCAACCCTCTGCTACTCAGATCATTCCCAAAAGTCTTGTATCCTGGGGGAGGTTCTCTCTGTATTGGGACTCCCAGCAACCTGCATTCCACCCTTCGCACTGGCTTCAGGCATTCTGCAACTCCACGTCCTAAAGACATCCTGGTGATCCCAACTCCGCTTAGCTTTGGGTTTCTTTCCACCCCTCTTAGCATGCTCTGGGGAATTAGACATTTTATCTATGGTAGTTGTAACCCCTCTGGAATGGTGCATTTATAGGATAACAGTGATTCTAAACTAGCAAGTGCCAAACAGAGGAGCTGGAGTCAGGAGGAGACTGACTTTTGGGAGGCCCAAAGTGCCCAGCTGGGGCAGTGGGGATGCAGCAATCCTGAGCTTGGTCCTTCCCCAAGGAAGCTTCTGGAACTGTAGGGGTGTTGCAGGACATTTCACTGTGTGGAGCAGCACAGCATGGGCTGTGGTTTGTGAGTATGGCCTGCACCTCAGTCACTTGGGGTCACTGGCTATAGTAGATTCCCAGGCTCTACACTAAAGCTGCCATCTTTCGCTGAGAAGGGCTTGGGTGCCTTGCCATTCTATTGAGCCCTCTCTCAGATAAGATGATGCACATTGCGATGGGAGAATTGCTACCTGTTTCATCTAGGTGTGTGGGGGGGTATGTGGGGTTGTGGGGGCAGAAGATAGTGTAAGACTAGAGACTAAAGAATGATGGGTAGCCAGACATACGGGATGCATGGAGGGTTTGGGTATGCAGAGAGCTCAGGTGTGAGAGCAAAAGGTAACCTCTGGACTCAGAGCTGGGAGAAGCAGTTCTTCTAATCCCAGCTTTTCCCCTAGTTCCTGGTAGGACTCCTGCTCTCTCCAGGCTGCTGCCACTAGGTAGTGAGAGTTTCCTAAGCAGGAGAATGGGACAAAGGATACAGTCTCCTTGAAAAGTCTGAAAGCACAATACAGGCTGGGGTGTGGCTCAGGAGTCCTGTACTTGCCTATCATGCACTAGGTTCTGAGTTTGACATGCGACTCCCAAACAAAACAAAACAAACAATGACAATAAAAACACAATACAGGCCAGAACACCTCTTCTTTCCTCCTCACCCCCGGATGAGTGGTTCTGTCCTGCATGTTATGGAATGGGACACAGAGCTATGCAAATGTTTCTGTGTGTGTGTTGATCATTTTTGTTTTAAATTTTTCTATTTTTGATGATGCTTTGACATCTCAGGACCTTGTGGAACTGAAAAGTGACTGCCCCTCCCAGGGGTAGCCCCTTCTTAGAGAGAGTAAATAATTGCCTGCAAACACATCTTTCTTTCATATGTAAACAAATAAAGAGTAAAAAAGAAAAGAAAAAAATATGCAAATGAACCAACCCTGAGCCCACACCCCTAACTGCCACCTTGATCAAACTTGCACACAAGTCAATCTTCCCCTGCCCTAAATCACCCTATGGATAGGTACAGAACATCCTGAAACCACCCCCATATCTAGAATTTACTGAAATTATTCAAACTATCCATTTCTAAGCTTATTAGCTGCTTGTTTGACCCTTTCCTACCTGAAAAAAGCCACAATAAAGGCTTTGGCCCACGCTTGCCTTGCACCCCTCTTTCTCCCGATCAACTGATTCCAGTGCTTCCTCATGTGGTTCCGTATAGCATGATATGCCCCCTCTTTTTGGGAACTGAGAGTAAAACAAGATCTTTCCAACCACTTATCTTAGTATCTGTCATGTTACCATGTTGGATTAAAACAAGTCCTGAGTAGCTTAGAAGTCTGTGTGGGAGTTTTCATTAGCTTCCCAGAAGGACCAGTGCCTCCAAAGAGCCAGGTCATTGGCCCTGATGATGCTTAGCGTTCCTCCTAGTAGCTCAGTGTATAAAAACAAGAACTCCTCTAGACCACATTTGCTGTGGCTTCTCTTAATACTGAAGGTGGGCTGGACAAGGTGGGGCTGGGGGCAGGGCTCACCCTTGTGCACAGCAAGCAGAGGTGCGAGGGTGCTCTGGTGCCAGACAGTGATGAGCAGTGTCCAGGGCAGCACGATGAGGACAATTGCAAGGATGTCCCGTCTTTTCGGCATCTCCAAGGCTGGCTGCACCCACAGTTCCTCATTACCTGATTGGCAGCAAGGTCAGGAGAGAGGTGGCCACGGAGCACCGGCAGCACAGGGGAGAAAAGAATAGGCATGGGCCGGCCGGCCAGGCACGGAGAGACAAGAAGCCAACACTGGCCAGCAGGTCTTACCAGCGCTCACACCCACCCATTGTGGAAGCAGGTTTGCAGAGTCCAGCCCAGGCAAGTCTGAGAAGGGGTCGTTGTCCAGGGGCGGGGTCAGGAACCCTCAGAGGAGGACACCTGCAAGACAGAATAGGCGAGGATGACCAGAGACCTGGGCCTGGGAGACACCCAGCAAAGGCTGCCCTGCTCTGGGACACAGAATATCACATGAGGAGTTTCTCAGTGGAGTATCCATCTCTGAGGACTTCTTTTGTCCATCTGCCTGGGTGAATGAGACTTCATCCTTCCCTGGGCACAGGGACAGGTCAGTGGTCCATTTACAAGAGCAGTAGAGTGCAGGGGTTAAAGGCACAGACTTTAGACACCTGCCTTGGTTTAATACCAAGTGTGCTATTCACAAGCTGTGTGAGCTTTTATGTCAACTTTCTGTACCCCAGTTTCTCATCTATAAAATTGGGCACTGACTTGCCAAGGTTGTTCTGAGAATTCAGTAAGTTAATACTTGTAAAATCCCTCAGATGGCCCTGATGTAAGTATTCAAGAAACCTTGGCCACCATGTTGTCCAAACATTTGGGCCCAGGTGGTCAGAGTTTGGAGGCCTCCTTTGAGAACCAGAAAAAGTGTTTTGGGGTCAATTCCTAAGTGGAAACATTCAAACTCTGTCAATGTTTTTAGTGAATTTTGTGGAGCACCTGCTCCTCACAGGAGGAGAAAATATGGTCCCTATGGGTCTACTGTGTCGTGGGCAGACCCTTTGTAAAAGTGGTAGCAGCCAGAGCCCCAGGAAAGGCACCTGGAGAGAAGAATATGGCCAACTCAGATTTGTTGTCCGTCTTGCAGAGGATCTGCTGACAGTGACTCCTTCTGCAAGGTGCTTCTTCTCATAGCAAGAAGTTAAGCGAGTATGTGGCTACTTTGGAAATTGTCAAATCCTCTTCCTGTCCTCTTTTACTTCTGTGCCAAGTAAGCACTGTGAAGATGCTGCTGGGCTGGCAGGGGTGGATTGGGCAGAGGGCAGCCTGGCTGGTCCTCTATGCCGGACACGCTCACCACCCCAGAGCTCTGCATGGTGACCAAGTCTCCTCGGAGGCCATGCTGTGTGCTCTAGCCCTGGTTCCCATGTGCCCTTCATCTCTGTCATGGTTGAGAGCCATGGCCACTGAGGGTTTTGGAAATAACGTGCTTTCTTCTCAGGTTTTCTCTTCACAAGTTCCAATGCTTTCTGGAAGACCAAGCTTTGCCTTCCACTAAAGAACATGTGTCCTGCTGGGTCAGCTAGTGTCTCCACCCAGCCCTTCTCACCAAAGGCCCATTGCTTCCAGAATCAGCTTGGGGACAGATGGTGTCACCTTCCTCCCATCATTCCTTAGGGAATGGATGGAACACTGGGGTTCAATGCCACAGGAAGAGGCCAGTGGTGGGACACACAGGAGGGGTCACATGCTGAGCTGTGTGCCATATCCCCCATAGCAACTCCTGGCTGGTGTGGCAAGTGACAGAGACCAGAGCCCACATAAGGATGTTTGTGGGACTTGTGTGAGAAGCAGATTGACCTTATGTTACATCCTGCAGATCAAAGCTTAGCTTTGTCCCCCACACCCAGGTCACTAGCAGGTCTCTATGTCAGGTCACATTTTGACTGGCATGATCTTAGGTCACATTCAATGAAGGATGGGGACTGCTATGGCTTGAATATGCTTTGTTCTCTCTGAAATTCATGTTGAAATTTGTCATGTTGCAGTGTTGGGAGGTAGGGCCTTTAAGAGGTGATTATGTCATTAAGAGGGATGAATGCCTTTCTCATGGGAGTGAGCCTGCAAAAGCATGGCTGTTCCTGTGTTTCGTTTCTCCACACACACCTACCTGTCTTCTGCTTTCCTCCATGAGTTGAAGCAGCAAGTAGATGCCTATGCCTTGGCCTTCCAGCCTCCAGAACTGTGAGCCACATAAACTTCTTTTCTTTATGAATTACCCAGTCTCAGGTATTCTGCTATTGCATCAGAAAATCAACTGAGATAGGGAGGCCAGGCATGGCTGGGGCTTCTAAAATGTCTGGGAAGATTTCTTGTGTGTTCTCAGAGACTCACAAAAGGAGTCTCACAAAAATGTCCTGGTTTGGGTGAAGGTTGTTATTCCATGTTTTAAAAATGGGGAAAAAAGTGAGCACCACATCCCCTCAGCCATGCAGGCCAACTGGGGACGGGACGGCGCTTTCCTGCTTTCACTCCTTTTCCTTATGGGCAGCTGTTCTGTCCTGGCTTGTTCAGCCTCCTGAGTGTTTTCAGGGCTATTGTTAATGGTAACCAGCTTTCCTACAGTACTCATAGTGTCCAAAGACAAAGACGTCAACACTTTGTACACATCTGCTCTGTACTTCACTCACAGCCACCCTGCACAGCAGGTACTGCTGAGGCGCCCCTATTTTCCATCTGGATTCACTGATTCCAGAGGGGTAAGTGATTTGCCCCAGGTCGATGAAGGAGTCAGAACTACATTGAAGCCACTAGCTTGGTGCTGTCCCCAGGGGAGGGGATAGGAGGGCCCAGGTGCTTGAGCACCCAGAACCTGGGTCAGGCACATGTAGATGAAGGACATATACAGGCCAAACACTTTCTCTGGTTAGGACAAACACCACTTTAAGAGCTATCCTGCTCCACCACAACTGCCAACACTGTGTGTCCCAGCACCTGCCTGATGCTGGAGCAGGAAGGAAGGGGAAGAAGGGACAAGACGAGGACAGGGACACTGTGCACGGGAGCTACAGAGAGTGTCTGATTCCATCCAGTTTTTTTTTTTGGGTGAAAATATCTATAAGAGGAAAGGGAGGGGAGTGAGGGAGAAAAGCTCTAAAAATAAACTTAGCAATAAACCCAGTTGTGCATTAATTACTCTGGAAGCCATTACGGCTTGAAAACCCCATAACTTTAATGGAGGCTATTATAAGCATAGTGGCAAAATCGTGGAGCTAATTACCAGGCAGTTATTAAGTAGAACAGAGAGTACCCCAGCCTTGGAGAAAGCTATCTGGCCAGCAGGGGGCAGGTGGGAGATGGGCCTGGGCATGGGCAGGGGTCTGGTGTGGGAGCTGCACCTATGCCAAGCAGGAGACTGACCAGAGTAGGCCATCCCTCACCATGGACCTCAGAATGGCTTCTGGGCCACATCCAGGAGTTCCCTAGAGAGGAGTAGAGGCAAGGGAGGTCTTTATGGTGAGACAGGAAATACTGGTAGAAGTGTGGGTACCCAGAGTCTGCTGTGCTTATGACTCCCTACCCCAACATTGACACTTATAGTTGTGACTGAACCCAATAATGACTGGTGTCTCTCCACAGCAAGTACAAGAAAGCCTCCCCGTCCTGGGTGTTCTCAAAGCATCCATGGACAGAGACAAAGGCTACATTGTGGGCACAATGGGCCCGGTGGGGGACTGTCACTGGCTAAGGAGCAGGGGATGGGGTAATGGCAGGCAGAGCCCTGTCCTGGCCCCCCCACTGTGGGGACTGTGGTCACACTGCTCACCCACTTTGACCTCACCTTTAAAGCATGGAAATTGGCTGGAAGAATTCTAATGAATTTTCAGTTCTTCCATTTTAGCATCTTCAGGCTGAGACAGCTGGGGCTCTGTGAGAATAAAGAAATGTCCTATATGAGGAAAGTAGGGGCCAGGTGGACATCCAGGCCAGAGTCCAGACCAGAGGGCCAACACAACAGCTCCCCATGGAATAAGTCATGACAAATACTGGGAAGCCCCTGTGTCTGGAAAGACCTGTCAACAGGAATTTATCTACGGGTTTCAGGGTGCAATGGCTGCAGGTGTGAACTAGATGGACAGGCTCTGATCATCTCAGGCTAGGGTAGGCAAATCACACTGGACAGTGCAGGAATGTCTGGGGCCTCAGAGGGCCAGAACTCAAGGCTGGCCAATTCTATAGGCTCAGAAGGGCTTTCTTCTGAGCCGGCAGGTGTTCAAATGAAAGCCTAAGCAATGCTCCTTGATCCTGAAGACTGGGCTTATTGAATTCCATTTGGCAAATATTAATTGTGCATCTGTAGCAGGCTCTGTTAGAACTGTGAACAATACAGCAATGTGGGGAGGAAGCAGGGGCCTCCCTCAAGCATCTCCCAGTCCAGAAGGGAGGAGAGACTTTATACAGGTCACGTCAAGGCAGGCAATGTGGGAGGTGTAGATAATGTTTGAGAGTTGTGTGTGGACATGTGCATGTGTGCACACACATGTGTGACAGAGGTCTGTTACAGCGAACTCAAGACTCATCCTTCCACTCATCTCTGGAGGATGATCAAAGCCTTTCACCCAGTTGTCTGGTCAATTAGAAGGACACACACATTTCAGCACAAGTGAGCCAGTATTCAATGGTTGATGTTTCCCATGATTGTGAACATGTGATTATTTTTCCAAAATCCAAACTGCCTGACCCTGACTGGCTTTTAGCATTCCACTTTATGGATGTCAGGTTGAGTCTGCAGATGGGACTTCTGCATCAACCTTCCATATCACCCTCACCACTGCTAGTACTGCCACCTCCAGTTTTGATGTCTCAGAAGTGACTGGAGGGATGAAGGACACTTCAGAGCAGTCTGAACACAGTGCCTAATAATGCTTACAACTGGTTCCCATAAGTCTTCACCTAACTTGGAGAATTTTTATCCAGACTCACGTTATGGGGTCTTTGAGAACATTCACTTATGTTTTCATAGAAACAACATGGCATTTCAGTGGTTTATATAGCAGTCTGTGTGATAACAAACACTATTATCATCAACAGGCAGGGAACAAGGCTCTGACTCTAGGGAAGTAGGTGCTCAGCCTGTATGAATGGAGACGACCCCACTCTGCACCATTTTTGGGCACTAGCCCTGTCAGGGCTCTTTACAGACTCTGTGGAGTACAATCAGGCAATTTACTAAGTTGATCAAGGAATGACTGCTTAAGAAAGTTCCTGCTGGGCTGGGGATGCTCAGTGTTAAAGTGCTTGCCTAGCACAAGTGAGGCCCTGAGTTCAATCTCCAGCATTGTCAAAAGAATCTCCAAAACAAACAACCCCCCCCAAAGCTTTCTGTTCATGTGCAGAAAAACATGAACACTATCCTG